AATTCAATCGTGAGTATAACAACACAAAAATAATATAATAAGAATTCAGTTATATTCCCAGATTTTAAAACACGTGCGCCAGAATATTCAAATGGACCAATAGGGGAAAGACGCCTGGGCTACCGCAGTCAACCTTCCGGTTGTCTTCTCCGATGGGTTCCAAACCTTAATCTGCAAAATAGTAAAAATTAATAGATCAAAACAACCATACCCCCCTTAAAATGGTGCCTTGAATCTGAGTCTGGCCTTATTTTTTGCTAAAAACTTCTGGATCATGCATTTCGAAGCAAGGTACCAGATTTGACTGAAAAATGGCATCTCACGATTTTGGCCCTAAATCTTACATGTTCCACGTCCAACCTGTTCTAAATAGGATTATGAACACATATGCAAATGTTAAACTGGACAATAACACAGATTAAACGAAATTGAATTAAAAAAAACATACTAAATGGTGTAACTCGTAGGGGTGGTTCTAGCGTGCTTCAGGCCAAGATGAGGGATGGAGATGATCCCTGGGAACCTCAGGAGTGCAAATATTGCACGAGATTGGATGGAGGAAGGTTGGGATGTAGGTTTTGAATTTCACAACTTTGACAATTTTTTGGAACTTTTGAGAACTTCTTTCAGGTGACTTTTTTGCGTGTGTTTGCTTGCACTTTTGCTCTATATTTATAAAGGGGTGTGAGGATGGAAAAACATGGCAAGAATCATTACATTAACCATGGTTTTAAATTAAAAAATCGCAAATTTGAAAATATGCCATTTTGATAATTTTCTTGCCATTCTTGAAATACATTGAACCTGGTCCTCTCTGCACGAATTCTAGGCCCAATACTGACCCAAATCATCAGCCCATATGTCAAAACCTATTATCCATTATTTTACGCCACTTATTTTGTATTTTTTTTTAGTAAAACACCAAAATAAATATGAATAAAATAAGGGAAAATTAAAAGCAAGGTAAGAGTGAGTTTATGAGTCCTAATGGTCATGAACATGTTTGAAGTCCAAAAGAATAAGCCCCATAAGCAAAAATTACAAATTGCTCAATTAAGATTCCATGTATTTTCTTGAAAATTGCCCAACTTGTGCAATTCATATCTTGCTCAATATTTATCCTTTGAATATGATCTTTGACTTTTTGGAAAGCCCAAGATGTCCCCTACAATATATATTTTTTTATAATTTTTTCATTTGGAGAATTTATCTTGATGTAACTTGCCTTGACAAAAAATGCCTTTTTGTTGACTTTCAAAAAGACATGTAATGTATTGGCTCATATCTTTCAAATGATGAATTTTTGGGATTTGAGGATAAAATAAAAGTTGAAGATAATTGAATTTTCTTCACAATGAGATTTGGTTGGGGCAAAATGGATGAAGCATGTGAAAGTTATGCCTGGTCAAAGTTCAGTTGGCTTTCTCTAGGAAACTGTAATTTAGCCATTTTTTATTCTTGATGATTTGAGAGCATTCCTTAAGGAATCATGATCAACCCTTGATCAAATGATGAATATCACTTAAAAATGTTGGTGTTGACCAAAAATCTTGAAGTTTGACTATATATTGACCATAATTGACTTTTGACCTAATACAGTTGATTTTCAGTCATCTAAGCAATTGACTGAGAACACTTGTGATGCAAGGCATGAAATTTGGCATGGGAATTCTTGAGGACATATTAGGAACCATGGAAATCACTTGAGGTATTTGAAACCTAAACTTATTTATGAAAATTGAAATCCTAGTTGGAAATCATTGCTTAGGAGAAGAATTTGTCTGGTCAGTTCTTGGTCAACCTTGAGCATTTGAGGACCTCTAAGAGTATGTTTTGAATAAAATAAGAGGGAAAATTTGGGGGTACAACACTATCCATGAAATCAGTTGTCAAAATGATTTTGTTGTTTTCGAGATTTAGGGTCTTGAAGACACTCTCGATACAGGGACACGATTGTTTCTTGGAATGTAAGAGGGGGTCAATAATTCAGGTAAGTGTAATGAGGTTAACTCCCGCCTCAATAGAATTCACCATGATGTTGTTACCTTAGTTGAAACTCGTGTTAAGCCGCACAAAGTTGTTGAAGTTAGGAATAAGTTTGGGTGTATGTGGTCTTTTAATGACAATTATGCAGACCATAAAAATGGTCGAATTTGGGTGATGTGGAAAGAGGCCAAATTCAATCTGCATGTGGTCAGAAGCTCTTCCCAATATATCCATTGTTGTGTTACCCATTTGAATGGAGACATGTATATGTGGCTAAGTGTAATTTATGCAATGAACACCTTGGAGCAAAGGAAATTTTTTTGGCATGATATAGAGGGTCTTTCTAATATCTCTGGTCCTTGGGCTCTCATAGGGGATTTTAACAATGTCCTTCATGCTCAAGACATAATAGGGGGGAACATGGTCACAGAAAATGAATATAGGAATTTGGAGAAAATGCTTGAACTAACGGATCTTCATGAAAAAGATAGTAGTGGGAGCTATTATACTTGGACAAATAACCAAGCTAATGGTGTGATATACTCTTGTATAGACCCTGTTCTTGGCAACTTAAGTTGGTTGCGACATCACATAGATTTCAAACTTCAAATTATGAATTTTGGGGTGTCAGACCATTCCATCCTCTGCCTGCGTACACAGGAAGACATACGTCCTAGTAGATCTCCCTTCAAGTTCCAAAATATAGTCACCAATGTCTTAGGTTTTCAAGAATCTGTGAGAGCAAACTGGAACAATCCTATTATGGGTGTTACTGCTATGTGCAGACTTTGGAAGAAGCTTAAATGACTCTAACCCGTTGTCAAATCCTTGAGCAAGACCTTCAAAGGCATTTCAAGAGAACTGACCAAAGCTAGAGATTAACTCAATGCTGTGCAACAGGAGCTTCTAATGGATCAGTTTAATATGCAGATTATTGAGAATGTGAAAAGATGCACGATGCAAGTTCTGAATCTGAGCAACCTTGAGGAGAAGCTTCTTAAGCAGAAATCAAAAGTTGAATGACTTAAATTAGGAGACAGGAATAATGCGTATTTTTATGCGTCTTTAAAATCGAAAAGTATGAAAACTCAAATATTATCTCTTGTTACTGAGAAGGGTGATACGATCTTTAAGCAGGAGAAAATAGAAGATGATATTGTTAATTTTTACAGGAAGTTGGTTGGCACGAAGAGTAGTCAGTTGAATAGTATTGATCTTGTAGCTATGAGGCAAGGCAAGTAGCTTACCAGTGATCAAAGGGCACCTTTGATGGGTGACTTTTGTTTCCATAAATTATGAGTCTATGATACTTAAATGAAACTTGGCTATTTTTAAAGTTAAGAACCTATAATGGGTCTGTAGCGGTAGAAATGTTGAGACAAAGCCATTGGATTGACTTGACTCACACAGATCAAAATAAAAATCGTCACAACGCTTTATTGTTTCCAAAGGAATGGGAAAAGAGTGAATAACCCAAAAGAGGGGGAGAGAATCTAAGCTCGGGAGTTGGTTATGCAAAGGGAAGGTACTAGCATCCTAAACATCTATGGTACTCAGCAGGAACCTCTTTGAAAATCTGTGTATTTTGGCTATAAAAGTTGTAGAGAAAAATAGATTGTGGGGATGAGAAAAGAAGTATATTTTATGATTTTTGCACCCTCCGCGGTTGCAAACCTTTAGTGCCTACGTACCACCTTTCGTGCAGTAGGGGATCAGGGTACTCATAGTTCACTTTTTTAAAACACAAGTGTGTTGGTTAATTTTAAGAAACGAGACATCGTTATCTTATCCGAGTGGAAGAACATACTTACTACCCACGATTATGAGAAAGGAGAATTTGCATCATATCAAAGTGGAGGATATAGCTTGGATTTTAAAATCAACAAAGCCTCACTCAACACCCAGGTGGAAAATATCTCACTTCACTATATATCGTAGAAGTATAGTAGCTCGGATCATTTCAAAGATTGACAAGAGTCTAATTTTTTGAGAAAATTTTTAAAGTAAAAAGCCAAAGTGGCAAGATGATTTGAATTAGATTGATTAACTTTTAGTCTTCTCTCAAAAATGTCAAAGTATTATTAAGTTGATTAAAGTTTGATCAAAAAAATACTTTGAGAATACATGGACCTAAATCCAAGTTTATTGTGAAAGCGGTTTAAGTTTAAAACAAGAATATTTTTCAAAAGGAGGGAGAAGATTTTTAAAGAGAGAAGTGCACAAAAGACACGAGATGATTTGACTAAATTAGAGTATTTTGGCTTTGGAAAATATCTCAAATGGTTTGAAGGTTTAAAATTTAAAGGAGAAATTCTACCCTAAAATGTTATCAGGCCAAGGTTTCAAACTTAGAGTCTAACACAAAACGTTCAAAGAGGACTTAATCGTTTCATGGCATTCCTAAGAGGAACATGACAATTATAAATCAAACAATTAACTAAAAGAAATAGAATTCTATTCTAATATTTTTTTGCATTTTTATTATGTAAAGAAAATTAACAAGTTCATGAAGAATATATCACAAATCAATTGATTAAAATAACTAAAATGGAAAATAAGAATACAATAGAGAAAAATTGATGAAACAGTGGGTTTAAAGTTTTGAATCAGGTGGTGTAGTTCAAAAGTTAGGCGCTAGGCCCATCTTAAGAAAGGTCCATGAAGCATTTTTGTGTCCAATACCTTCAGACTCCAAAAACAATGGTAACGGGCCAAAGAAAGAGTGTATAAAGCCATGCCCAATGATTTGGTCCGGTCCACTATCCAATCTCAATTCTCTTCTGTATTGACACCACTACGTCACTGTGAATCAGGTGGTGTAGTTCCACCGCCATAGCTCCATCTCACCTTCCTTTCTTCTTCGCTTCGCTCACAGCCTCATCGTCGCGATAGTTCCGTCCGATAATCCTCTTCTCCGGACTCAAAGCAGCGCGTCTGCTCCGATCTCGCTTTGTCTTCTTCCGCACGGACTTCGCACTACCTTGTCGCGATTCAACCTTTTTCAACGCTAATCAATGGGCTCGGCATCACCTTCACTCATCGATGCGTTCTGCGTAAATTGTTGCAGTTGATGCATTGATCGAATAATGATAATAATGTTGCTGCAGCGTAGAATGAAGATGATGTAGTGACGCGAGGTGTTGTTGAAGCGTGGTTCAGAAACTTTTTGAAGTTTGCAGAAAGTTTGCAGAGAAAGGATGAGAGAACAATGGAGTTTCCAATTCTCAGATTGTGGTGAAAAATCGTGTTGAAGCCTCAGATAATTTCAGGAGAGAACTCTGAAACTTCTCAGAGAAGTTTCTTTTTAGAAGTGAAAATTGTTCTTCTCCTCCTCAGATTTGTGAATGAAGCCCTGATTTATAGCTGTTGATTTGGCTTGTCTGAGAAGCTTCTTATAGGTAAGATCATCTGAGCCCTTGATTTTAAAATTCTGTTATATGAATGAGTGGATGAGATGGATCTGAATTTTGTGATCTTGATTGAAACTTGCTTTGGAAGTTTGCCCTTGATCTGCTGAGTTATTTCTGATTTTTTGTTTTCCTGAACTGATGTAAAACAAAATTATGTTATGAAAACTCAATCTATATTCCTTATTCCTGATTTAATTCCTTTTTAAATATGTTGAGCCAATAATTGTTTTTAATTAAATCTCCTGAACTGGTTTTGGATTTAGTCTATTCAGACAGGACTGGTATTCAGTAGGACTTCATTTTCTATCATGGATGAGATGACAGATTTGGACTTAGTTCATGATGCAAAGCATATGGAATGGTTTTGTATTTGGAATTTATTTGTGACGTATGTGCGGGCTTTTATGGATCTGTTTTGGTATTGTTTTGCAGTTTATTCATACTGGTGCAGCACCACTCTTTTTCTTTAATTTGGACAGCGAGGCATATTTATGTTTAATCCATTTTGGAGAGGCTTTAAACAAATTTGGAATCGGTTCATGTGAGGTTGTTGACAGCATGACATTTACTTTTTTTGGCTAGATTTCTTCTTCTTGAACCAATGTAAACCAGTGGCGGTAAACTAATTTTGAAACATGGCTGTAACAGGAGCACAAAAGTATGGAAGTTTGGATATGGAGATTGGAGGAAGATTGGGATATGGAAGCATGAAGACTAATTAAGATAGAGGAAGTCATGTAGAACACTTAGTGTAAGTTTTACACATTTTTCTATATTGTAATGGTGATGATTAATGTACTTTGATGAATATTGAGTGATGATGAGTGTAAGTGAATTGGCTGAACTGTGTTAATACCAATTTGGTTTTCTATGAGACATTTGATGCAACATTTTGGAAATGGTTTTAAATTAATGAAATAGACACTTTGGAAATTGAATTTGGGATGGAATAGACTTTGAATCTTTGAACGTGAAACCTTGAATTATGCCTTGAATGTTGAAATTTGTTTTATGACTCGCTAGCTTGAATGAAGCCAAAATAAATTGCCAGCAACGACTAATGAACCTCACACTATGTTTCAAGTGACTTGTACTCCAAGAAATCAACATGAATTTTCTTTTAACTTAGCATGTTTGAATCAATCTTAATGAACAAAGTATATGCCTTGAGAGTTTTGATATCATGTTTGAACAATCTTTGAGCTTAAAACAAATCCACATGAATGGACTATGCTTTGCACACTTGAATTGATCCTTAAGAATTTTGAGTGAACTTGAATATCTCGAAGTCCAAATAAGTTCTATGAATCATCTTTCATCCTTATCTTAAACAAAATAAATGCTTGAGCTTGGTGTCCAGATGAAACAAGTAATTGAATCCAAATTAACTTGCAAGCAACAAGTAATTGAATGGGCGACAATACCTTGATCACAAAGAATTCTCGAATTCATCTTTTGTGCCATGATTCATTCTTTTATATTAATCAACAAACCATCTTGTCTTGACAAAGTACTTTCTTCCATTGACGAATTTGACACAAAGACATGCCCTTGAGGAAAATTTTAAACCTCTCGAGAAGAATTAACTTGTGGAGCAAGTAATTAGGAGAAACCCTAAATCTCTGGACCTTGAGTGCATATGGATGAAGAAGGATTGAGATGGTGCAAGGAATAAAACTCTAGCTCAAGATAAATTTCAATGAAGTCATGATGAAATCTTAAGAACACAAGTTAAACCTTAATGCACTTGTTCTTCGAAGAAAATTCTGATGAAGAAAACTTTGTACCTCGAGGAATCTTGCCAAGGAAAATATTCGTGATGCTTGTAGATCCAAAACTCTAGTTTTATACCAAGAGTGATGAGAGAACCAATGGAATCAACCTGAGGAAGGTAACAACCTCAATCCATAGAAAAAACTCAAATATCAAGAGTCTTTTGATCCCATGCTTTAAGATCTAAATTGAATGAAAGATTTATGATGTTAATGCATATGATGTTATGAATGAACAAATTAGGGGTAAAAAATGGGGTATGACAGGGTCCATGATCTATGTCATTGATACACTCACACAACTAACACAATTTTGGGGAAGTACTTTAAGTACACATTTGCCGTCAGATTCAACAACACAAGACGATCGTCAAAGAAAGTTTTGTCATCATCAACATCAAAGTCCTTATCACTTTGAGATAAATATTTATAAAAATTAATAAGTGATAAATTGAAAATAGGCTAGCGTCGATCATTACACGTAACATGACATTAAGACCTTGCACTACTAACAAAAAGTAGAAAATGTGAAAGTGTGTTTTCTTGTCACAGATCCCTACCCAAACTGAATTCTTCTATTGAGATTTTGTTAAAAATGATATTCACCTATGCTAAGGTGATACCTTCCTTGAAAAAGAGGGAAAATATGGATCTATATGTTGTGCAAGTATAACCGTCATTTGGTTTTGATGATGATAACTATTAAGAAGTTTAAAATATGACATATCTATAAGTTTAACGGGTTTTGGTGTTGATGATAGCTCTTTCAAGAATTCTTGGTGACAACTGTCACAACAACAATTGATAAAAATTGTCCAATAGTTTCTGAAGGTGAAATTTAAAAAGAAGAGATATCTCAAGCCTCACCAAACGCTTCCCCATCACCAGTGGAGCACCCTATATGAATACAATGATTTTAAGTCTTTAAATTTGCTACAAAGAGCTATCCATATTGAAATATTTACTTATCCTTGTGATTTTATAAAATAAATTTATTTTTCTTCTCTAATTTTCCTTTATAATATATCAAGAATGACGACTATGGGGTTCGAACCCACGCACACTTATGTGCAGAAGATCTTAAGTCTTACCCCTTAACCTCTCAGGCAAACCATCTTTTCGTTTACATTTTACATACACAATAATATATCTAAATAAAATTACATAGTATACATATTGACAACTTTGAACCCGACTATCTAGAATTGAAAACAAATTTTTTAAACAGTTCCATTATTACAATGCCACAAATACAAACAAAAAGAAATATCTTCTCCATAACTTAACCACCATGAATTTGACTCAAACCACTCCACACTTACATACTTCATGTTTGAGGGATTGGGGGCCATAATAAGTTTTCCTTAAACCAAGTCACTCTTGTAGACCTCATACTTGAGGGATTATGGACCATTATACAATAATCTAATTGTATTTTGATAACATTTGTTTCGGGCCATTAGTGGTCCATCTTTCCATGTATAATCTGGGCTCTCTACGCCATTTGATGTAACCGAGAATAATTCACCAAACTCTTCTCATAACTAGTGGGACCATCCCATGTGAAGTGAATAATATCAAGTCTCTGATTGACTATATTGCATCGTATGTATTAAAAGAGTGAGTCACCTACCACGTCTATGTCATGTATGCTTAGACTAGGGTAAAGGCCATAAATACCTGTCCAAAGAGATAGATTAAGGATCATGTATTCACACATTATAAACCCTAAAGACCTCTATATTCTCATATCATAGACTAAGCCTTTACTTGTGTATTCATTGCAAGTACAAATATATTGTCCAAACCTTAATTTTACACATTGCTATCTATTGTTATAATTTCGTATTTATCAAATCAAGTAAATTATTATTGTCTTATATGAATTAATACAATCCCCATGAATATGGATCATATAAATTACATTACTTGACGACCATTTGGTTGACCTACCAAATAGCCATTAGACAAAAAATCATAGAACACACTACTCGATTCATTTTAAGAGCGAAGATGCCACAAGATTGATTAGCAATAGTGACTAGATTTTTTGGTAATAGCTTATAAATTCCTAACCAATGTAGAAATATCATCCACACACTTCCTAAAAAATGAGCATTTAAAGATAAATATTTATATTCCCCATCAACCATGCATCCATTTAAATATTAGGAAGAATTCTAGTTAATGATACCACAATGAATCATGTTATATTTTGTTGGAAATAAAACCTTTAGAGGAACCAATTTATTCCAAAACGAAAATTTAAAGAATTTATAGATACACAATCACATCAAAGAAGTCTATAAAATTTATTGACAAAATAATCATGGCTATGGTTAAAATGCGAAGCCCTCTTGTCAAATTCAATTTCTACAATAAGATATTAACTAGCATAGAACAACAATATGTAACTAACTATTCCTCCCTAGTGAGCAATCGTCATCTCAAATTCCACCCACCTCTATCTTATATCTACACTAATAAACATATACTAATACATTTTATCCAAGGATAAATTGTAAAGTCTTCTAAATATCGCAAAAAGTAGACCTCATTCAAGCCAAGAATCATTTCAAAACAAGCTTATCAAAATGAGGAATTAAGATCCTCTCCATTTCTCAAAAGAATAGGAGAGTGTCATTACTAAAGTTTTGGAGTATAATACATTTATATTATTTAAAAGTGTGACATATATTTTGTATACTTTGATATTTATACAATGCAAACAATGATAATAACACTCTCCATTTATTTGAAGAACATAGAGGATCTCAACTCCAAAATGAGGCCTACTCGCCATTACCTACCACCTAAAAAATTTATTCATTAAAAATAATTAAATCTACTTACCCTTTTCCATACCTAGTAGGTTGTAAATCCATCCACCAAATATATGTTTTACTACCTTAACTTGATGACACACAAATATGTGATATTTCTGGCTTGATATACACCAAGTATTTCTCATACTTTAGTTTGAATTAAATTATTTTATAAGTATTATGCAAGTATTTTTCTATTTTTGCAGATATGCACTGAGCCGAACACTTTTGAAGAAATGAAGAAAAAAGGGTGCAAAAAGTAGTAAAAGAGCCTAAGGAGAAGAAACCAGCCCAAAAGCCCATTACACATGTGAGCACGTAGCCCACAAGCAACCAAGCCCTGACGACCGTCAAGGGGACGTGACGAACGTCACGCTCCATAAAGACCAAGTGACGATAGTCACTTGCGTGTGACGAACGTCACAGCCTATCACCCCACTTTCTCCTCATCCAACGGACAGAAACACGTTCAAGGGTTAATCCAACGAGTTCCTACATTCTCTCACCCACGCAGTCAAGAGAGCAACGAACGTGACAATTAAATGGCCTATTATTTCTCAAGGAAGAAAAGTGAACTGTTCCTACATTTTCGAGAGCAACGAATCAAGCAAGCACTATAAATAGAGCCTGAGACCACAGTAGAAAGGGTTCTTCTTTTTGGCAAGAAAGTTTAGAGATTCTATTAAGCAGATATTATTTTCAGCAGAATATTATTTTCAGCATTATTTCTTTTCAGCATTATTCTTTCAGCATTATTTTCTTCTGTACGGTTAAATATATTCTCCGATCGAAGCAAAGCCTACAATTTGTGCAGGAGTGCTTCTGTCTTCAGAGTTATTACCAGGTTTATGTTTACAAATTCTTATTGCTTATTAATTAATATAATTATGTTTATTTGTGTTTGTCCTTTAAATTATTCTGCGATTTGGTTTAATATTATGTCAAGCTAGAAATTTTATACCGGTATGTAAAGTCAATCAACCGAGGGAACGAGTAACTTAGTCGGGACTATTTTTACTACGAAACTTTCTTTTCTGGCCTAAGTTACTATTTTTCAAATCATTAAATTGTTTTGTTACGGAAGTAAAAAAACAGATAGAGGTTAGGGTCAACA